ATCGATATATCGATACTTAGGATCGATACGCCCATCCCTAGTGAAAGAAAGTAACTCTCCTCGCATTAATAACGGCTTTCGTTTTAAGTCACCGTTCACGTTTGGATCGTCGTTTCACGCATTTATGCGTATTACGTTTTTCTGTACTTTACTTTTCTGCTCATCACTCTTGACTTCAGAGATGAGTTTTCAGGGGACGTGTTTTATAACTCATAAAACTGTTTAAGGTATTGTTTGTTATTGTCGTATTACGACGTATCTCTATATATTTTACCAGAATAAACCATCTCGTAGTGTCTGGCACAATAGCTTGGTTTTAGCCTCCACTCGTGTGTACTTTTTGTGTAATAATAAAATAAATGTTTTGAAAGCTTCTTACACTGAGTTTTCATATTAAGGTCGGCTTTACAGTAACAATAGCAGCGCTATCTGTGGTCAGGTTTGTTGTTGATATCTCTGTATCCTCTGTATTTCTTTCAGGTCTAGTAAGTTGAATACATTGGTGACCAAACTTCATGAGTTTTTGGGTCCTTCTCCAGACGAAGAAAGCATTCATTCTCCAGATATTTCCAATGGTGAGGATCCCCACTGTCAGCCCAACAGACTGGGCCCAGAAATTCAGCTTTTCAAAGGCTAAATCTAGTAAATAAGGCTAAAAAGTAGTATCTATGTATACATTGACGTATTTTAGACAAATATACAATGTTTTCTTAATTGTAAATGTGTATGCTTTTCTCATATTGCAGGTAAAATGGCTGCTAGTGACTTAAACAGCCCTGATGAGAGAATGAATGAGGTTTGTCTACAGAGTCTGGTTTTGCTTTGTATCTCTACAGTTTACTATAACACTGTCCTATCCGGTTACAGCATAAGGTCATTGTTCTGTACTTGAATGTGCACTTCAAAGTTCAATTTGAGATGGACTAGAGCAATAGTTAGTCTTTTTAAAATGACATGCAAGGCTTTTGTCTGACTCTGGTTGTACTTGTGCAGTTTTTTGCAAAGTCTCACTCAAATCCTAGATAAGGTCCGGTTTTATCGTTGAGATGAGTGCCCATAAAGAGCACGGCAATTAGGATTGAGGCAGATTTGTTAAAGGATGACGATAAAGCTTGCCGTTTAGCAGCATGCTTTACGGGGAAAATAAGAAAGCAGCGTTTGCCATCGTTCTCTGTCATAGTGCGAGAATGATATAGTGCATGAATAAAGCATCAATTACCCGACTCATGTTCATGCTTTGATTTTCAGTTTGTTGGACTGGTGCTTCAAAAGCTTCTTCAGGAAGTTTATAAAAGACAAGGAGATTAAATTGATACCCAGCACGTCCATTTTATTCCATAACCTGAAAGCTTATCACACCGATAATTATCATTTCTATATTTGGGTTAAAATATTCAGGTAGGTGGATCAGTTTTTTTTGGCTAAAATTATGTTTCTGTGCACATTGTGCTCGATTTAGGCCCTTTTATGCCAAACTACTATAAGACTAATGTTGCGGGGGTTGAGCTGGTAATATATGGATATTTTATCACTGAAAATGAAATGTGTTTTTTTTTTTT